TCGTATCGTCAGTTTCGGCACCGTATGTCATAACGGGTAGGACGCACTGGTTATAAACCTTGGTCTTAAGGCTTTGTGGTAGCGAGGACGAGAAATCATAACACGTATAAAATAAAAGTCCAAATTTTTGGTACAAAGAAATAACTCGTTTGACGTAATCCACAGTATCCATTAGCGTTCCGAGAAGGGAAGCCATGGGTGCAAACCAGTATTTACTCTACATCAGAAATACCTGCTGACATTGCATTAGTTTAAGCCCTACCCCGTTGTATTAAGATTCATTATTGCCCGACAACTGTAGCATTGCAATAGAAAATAACTAAATTGCTCATCGTTGTACGATATCTTCGGTTTATCTTTTGTTCTATGCGTTATTGTTATAGACAATTGATTGTTTTGACGAGAGTTCTTCTAGTGATGTGACACTGTTCAAAATCGTTAAAAATAATCGATTATATTGGATTACTGACTGTGCCCGCGGTTTCACCGTCGTTAACTCTCAATATATAATTTTAAAATGTATATATAGCCTATATGTTATTTCGATGCATAAGCTATATTACTGTACAGTTTCATCAACATCCGTTCAGTACTTTTTGGGTGAAACAGTAACAAATATCCATAACAGTAACAAACATCTATACTCATAAACTTTCGCGTTTATAATATTATATATTGAAATAATAATTCGTTTTAATAACATAATAATAGAAAAGATGAAGGATGTACTTATTTTATGCAGTAGGTCAAGTAACTAAAAAATTAGGGTTAATAAATATTCGACTACGAAAAATCGGTTTTTTTCAATAAAAATTCTTAATTTTTCCATTCATTTTTCCATTCATTCGTTCATAATTTATGCAACGCTGTTGTTGGTTGAGCTCTTGCCACTTTCCACGATCTACCATCGGACTTTTATCATATTCCAAAATAGAAACCTAAATTTTGGAATACTTGACATTGACAATGACTTTTAATTCCTTAAAGTTTTAGGTGATCAATATTTATTTGGTCTTATTTTATCAAGACCACTTAGACGTAAAAATCGTCTGTATAAAATAATCGATTACTAATGATCGATTATTTAGTAATCGATTAAAATTTGTTTCCTTAATCGAATAATCGATTGTTTCCGTAATCGATTCCTTTTTCACATCTCTTAGTACTTCACGGCGATCAGTTACGGTGGTCATTTCTAGTGTGGCGGACATTGTTTAACTTTGAATATCAATTTGTCTATATTTTTTTTATACGTGTTTGTTAAAGTGAGACATTCTGGTGAGTTTTTGCTTCAGTGACAGCTGCACTGTGCAAATGTGATTTGTTCTAATTTTGAAATTATTACACTTTGAAATATAATACTATAACTATCTTAATTATGAACAAATTGAAGGTGAATTTGTCTCTAAAACAAATCCCTATCGGTTAACTTAACACAGCATAGCATATCTTGTAGTGGCTGGATAATAATTTTTTTTTCGGATTACTTTTATGCTTTTGGCCGCAGCTGGCCTTTACAACTTCACCGGACGATAGGGGGCGAGTGTAGATGGCACTGCAAACTCGCGGAAGGACTTATGGAGCGGCTGAAGGCCAACTCCCGCCAGACGTATACGAGTTTAGTCTGAAGGCACCGCTAGGGGTTCGAATCTCAGCTCAGGCCATCGTAATTTCGATCCCTGATTAAATTGGACGGGGGATCGATCGGAGGGTTCAGTATATACTGTGACAATTTTCTGTCACAGTGCTGTTTATCTCAATGATTAAATCAAATCTAGAAACCTTTCCTCTCATACACGTCTTAGATGCATGTGCCATTATAAATAAATAAATACATAGATACATTTTTTGTAAGTACATATGTACGTATTCAGTATACAATAAACAGTATTCTATCAGCTCTCTGGTACCTGGTATCACTATCTTTACCGTACAGTTCGGCCAGTTTCTTCAGTTGAGAAGAATCAAGAATTTTAACTGCTATTTTGTATTTTGTCTTTGTTATTGTTATAAATTTTTATTCAATTTCAGTCTTTAAATTGTGGATAGCGTTTAAGTGTATTGTCTAATATATTTAAAATATCAAAATACCTTGTACCAAATGACATCACAATTTACACCATACAAGGTCGTCGCTCGAAAGAATAATAGTTCATGTTTTAGGTAACACTTAAGTTCTTAATAATAATTTTGAATTCATTAAACTGTAGATACAAAATATTTATAACTTTCGTATTGTAAAATTTAATGCCGATTCCCACAAAATACCTATTAACTTTATCTAAATTTAATATAATTATTTTTACATTTGGACATTTCAATATACTGTTAGTTACTTTAATATTCTCCCCTCCAATGGATCCCCGGTCCAATTCAATCAGGGATTGAAATTACGAAAGCCTGAGCTGAGGTTCGAACCCCTAGCGGTGCTCTCAGACTAAACTCGTATCCTTCAGAGTTGGCCTTCAGCCGCGCTCCATAAGTTCTTCCACGGATGTGGAGTGCTGTCTGAACTTGCCCCCTATCATCCGGCGAAGCTGTAAACGCTAGCTGTGGCAAACATGTGTGAGCCATGTTGCCAATTAATAACGTACAACTGTAATTTTGTATGATTTTTGTTGTAACTGGCTAATCAGATATGTATTTTATATTCTAAATTTGTATTTGAATTTATAGTTCTTTTATATTACATTCTTGTTTTTGATACTTCAATTCATTCTTTTCTGTTGTCAATATGTTAATTGTCTATTATTAATATATTTTCTCCGTTTTTACCTAGTCTTTTTTCTTATTACTACAACAATTTTATAAATTCAAGTTATTAGTTGATTATTAATATAATTTGCTTTATTCCTTTCTCTTTCTTTCTTCTTTCTTCTATGGTCTGTAGAAATGTTTATTTCTCTCTTCTCGCCAGTTGATCACGTAATCAAATATACTTAATATAAACACTTTTGAATAGTCATATTTTCTTATACTACTACTCATTCGGAACGCAGACTCATTACAAGAGGAATGAGCAAGTAACTTGCGTGTTGCATTAAATAAATGTTGTTCAGCACTACAAATTTTGAGATTTTTGGAAATACAAACTGCCAAATAGCAAATATGAGTTAAATAATTAAATAGTTACTTGAGTAACAAAATAAATCTGAAGGTGTTTCGTTTTACTAATGGATAAATTATCCCCTTAAAATACAAAGTTGTTATCTATACATTTAAGGAAAATTAGAGTGTCTGTTGTAATATTGAAATAACTGTTTTTTACTACATGCATATGAATATAAATACGGTACATACACCAAAATAACATTTTTTACATTTTCTGTCTGTCTGTCTGTTTGTTCCGGCTAATCTCTGAAATGGCTGGACCAATTTTGACGGGCCTTTTATTGGCAGCTAGCTGCCAATAATATATATAGCCTTATTACATATAAGGGGGAACTTAAGCTACTTTTATTTTAAAAAATTCTTCTATTTTAGAAAAACAAAGTTAAATTCCACGCGGACGAAGTCGCGAGTACAGCTAGTGAAAAATATAAACAAAGCTTAATACAAATTACCTACAATTTATAATAACGTGTTATTTATTTCATTCATTTGTTTACTAGTATTAATCACATTGTAAAAGTTATGGTTAAAAGTATTGGGATTTACCTCAACCGTGTTTGTATAAATAACGTTAACTGGCTCATTAAGCTAATGATACCTTTAGTTTTATTTAAACCATAATTTATCAGTATTGTAAAGAAATTAGTTGCCATTAACTTTTTGTTTAAAACGGTTTTAATTTAATAAGAGAGAGAGAGAGATCATCATCTGCTTCTTCCTTATCCCATTTAGCGGTCGGCGTAATATGTTTTTCTCTTCCATTCATCCCAGTTCGCAGTCATCTCAGTATTTACTCTCTTTCTTATTTCTCTTTCACACAGTCCATCCATCTCTTTTTCGACCTTCCTACCGACATTTTACCTAAATGTCGTTTGGCTAAAGTTAGTAATTCGTTTTATGGCAATTGCGTAAGGTTTTACAATAAAATACCAGAGTCTGTTATAAATCTGCCAGAAAAAAGATTTAAATGTCAAATAAAACTGTTCCTTTGCAAAAAAGCTTACTATAAAATTGAAGAATTCGTTAACGATAATAATGTTTTTATAGAAAAACTTAAATCTATAGCACTGACAATTTTATCTGATTACATTAATAATGAGTGCGTAGCGACTGATTATCGCATGCCTCTTACTTGTTATACTGTAATTATTTATATAAAAAAACATCTATTAAAAAGAGCAACACACAAGTTTCTTGCTCATTCTTCTTGTGATGAATCTGCATTCCGAATGAGTGGTAGAATCAAAATATGACTATTCAAAAGTGCTTGTAATGAGTTTATTTGAATAAAGATTATTTCTATTTCTATTTCTCTTGCTATAAAAATCTATATTCATATGTAACACCTTCCTTAAAATATTATCCCATATTATAAATATTGTAAAATGTTGCTAGCTACTTAATTGTGGCCATATCAAGTGATACATTCATCACGAGATGAGTTGGGAATGTCTCTGAATGTCTCATCTAAGATAATAATTGTGAGGGTACATTTTATTATTATATTATTTTTTTTTTAATTTTGTACCACCTTTTTTAATTACGTAAATTTCTTCCTATCTATTTGTGCCGTTAATATGCTCCGATTGATCCCCGTCCAATTCAAACGGGGAAATTACGAGTGAGAAACGGCTCAGGAGAAATTACCTGAGCCGAGGTTCGAACCCTTAGCGATGCCCTTCGACTAAAGACTTCTCTCAGGCAGGAATTGGCCTTCATCCGCTCCATAACTCCTTCCGCGGGATTGGAGTGCCATCTGCACTCGACTCCTATCGTCCGATGAAGCTTAAAGGCCAGCTGCGGCGAACAGCATTACAGTAGTCCGAAAAAACATGTTTTCAAGTAACTTTTATGCATTTTTTATTAACAGTATTTCTGTTTTGTTACAGATATAATGAAAATGAACGTGAAGTGATAATTTCGAACGAGAAACAAGTGATATCTCGATTGATTGTTTAACGATACTGACTATAAATTTGTGTATATGTGTGAGAAAACGAGTTTGAGTGTAGTTGGGAAGATGACAAACCTGAATCCTGAGACCAGGATCATGATGTTGAGGTCCACGGACGGGAGAGCCAACTGTCGAAGACAGGTATGTATAAATTAATATATTTTTTAGTTCTTCACCGTATTCTTACTACATATGGTATATAAGAGCATGGACCCTATGTCTGTGGAGAAACATAAAATGTTCTCTACCTCTACTTTACCAGCGACATGTGTGACGCCTCAAGACTAGAAAAGCCGATCCCACGTAACGGGAAGAGGTTTGCCATGTTTGTTCAATTTGCAGTATCCTGTGAGGACCCTAGTCACCATGCATATGTTGTTTTTACTCAATAGCAATAGTCTATTGGAGTATTTGTTCAAGTAGCCCGATAAATAAGTCTAAATAACAAAATTTGAAAAAAGGGCGAGCACAATAGATCTATGTAGGTCGTAGTGCTACAGGTGCACCTAACAATAGCCCAAAAAACCCAATAATAAAAATAGGGACGAGGCGTGGATGAAGGAGAAATTCTTTTGAAATTTACGGACTTATATACGAACTATAAGTATGAGCTTGGTCCCGTGGAAAGTAGAAAAATGTTGGGTATGTGATTCCACGTGTCGGATATATTGCCACCAAGTTATGTATCTGCATCTTCCTTTAGTCTGTGAATATGGAGTTTTTGCTATTAGCCATGGAGACATTGACCCATGTAGCCTAAAAGCTAAATTGTTTTTGATGAGTGTTTTAGCGCGGTTCATCGAGGTCACTAGTGACCCAAGAACTGGTAGCTATTTTGCGCACACGCAATCAAAAGCCTAACTATGTCCTTCTTTATGCGGACACCTAGTCGTGACGCTACGTTTGTTTTATGTAAAAAAAAATGATGCCTGTTTGTTATGCTACTATTGAGAAATTAGGTATCTCGTCTCCGTAATTCAAATGAATTATAATGGAATGGTGCACCCGCCTGCGCTAACGGATTACGCTGGCGGGGCACCAGTGGAGGACGTGCAGTTTGTCTTATCATCCTCCACTGGTGCCCTGTCAGCGTAAACCGTTAGAGCAGGCGGGTGCACCAGTCACGAGACACCTAATTTCTCAGTGAGTCAAAACAAACCTCTTTTCCCCGCCTCCGTAATTCGATAATACACGTTTTCTACCAATAGTGGACAATGAACTGTAGTATTTATAAACTAAATAGTCCAAAATGAAGAGGTGTCGTCCCACAAATAGTACATTTTATTTCCGTTATTTGGCAAACTTGCGCAGGCGCATTATCGGACGATGTTTTGTGTATATAATGCAATAATTACAACGGTCAACGATCCCGGAAACACTGAGATTGTATCTCAAAGCCCTTAATTTATCGGTCGTAACAGTTATATGGTACATTTAGAACTATTTAAGGTGATAGCTTTTTTATTGTTTCTCGGTTGGCAAGCGGAGCTATAATTAAAACGTTGTTGCTACAAAACAATATCTTTGAACAATATTTATTAAATACTAGTCGTGCCTGCGGTTTCACCTGCATGGAATTTATATCCTATATGTTATTCTATTGCATAAGCTATATTACAGTAAAGTTTCTTCAAAATCCGTTCAGTAGTTCTTGCGTGAAAGAGTAACTAACATACATCCATACTCATAAACTTTCGTGTTTATAATATTAGTAAGATTGTTGACGGCCTCGGTGGTCTAGCTGGTCTAGTTTAGCACACCGCCTTACATCCTATAGTCGCGGGTTCGATTCCTCGCACGGCACAAACATTTTAATTCATGAGTCTGATTGTTTTTATCGGTCTGGGTGTTTTTTACGTATTTACGAAAAAAAATTATATTTATGTATTTATAACAGTTATCCAATACAGTAAGATTAGGATGATAAGATGAGCATGAGGTCATGTCAGTTAGCCCATCGTGGTAAATACACCATGAATTTGTCACGATGGTTTCCTGGGGGACGTGGAGTTCAATCTGACATGGTACATTACTAGTATTAGGGTTATTAGTCCACATTACTAACAATCCCCCCCCCCCACCCCCCCCCCCACCTAACCCAATTATAGATAGGCACGATGTATATGTATGTTTGTTTATATCTTTATTTGCTGCATTACCGAGGTTGTCCAATTAAAGTGATCAAAGTTAAAATTGCCGTGAGAATATTATTTTACGATTGTGAATGCAATCTCGTTTTACAACACATCACTTTATTGCTACCCGTTTTTACATATACTTGCATTTCTACCATAAACGTAGACATCTATACTAATATAATTAAATAGATTCGTTTGTTTGTTTAAACTCGAAGTTGATTTTTGAATTTATAGAATAGAATAACATTTTTTACATCACAACACAATAAAAACAATGCTGGTAGCTGCATATAAATTATTATATAAAATAAACGTAAATAAAAAATCATTATATACAGAAAAATAAATAAATAAAAGAACAACATAGTAACAAACAAATAAATAATAATAATAATAAAAAACCAATACTAAATAATAATACTAAAGTAAAATGTATTTCCTATCCACCACTGCGGAGCATCGCCACCGCGTCACTGTGTACTGATGTGTGTGTGAGGGGCCCATCTCAGCATTATGCCATGACAAAAGCCACGACGCTGATTTTCAACCCCGTTTCAACCCCAGTGGAACCCCGAATTTAGCGGTAGGATTAAAAAATGATTCGATTTTTCATATAATGTTATTGACTCATCTTGTACGGGCTGGTCTGTTTGGGTTCCGAACACTGATTAGACTATTTGCTTTTGCAATAGCATATGCTGGTGGTCACTCTATTCTCCCAAATTCGAATTTAAAAATGAATCTGTATTATTGTAAACATGTATAACGTTTATTTGAAAAGAATACGAGCTGAGTTTCTTGTCAGTTCTTCTCATCTCGAAATCATTCCGAACTGACGGTAGATTTGACATATAAGAGTCTGTAATAGACCTACATGAATAAAGATATTTTGAATTTGAATTTGAATCTCATGGCAGAATAGAATAGAATTTTAATATACTCTCTTAAATACCTAATACACATATATATAACAATAATGAATTAAAAAAAAAATCAGTTCACTCATCATTATTAATAATTATAAACGCAAAAGTTTGGATGGATGTTTGTTACTCTTTCATGTAAAAACTACTCAACCGATTTTGATGAAACTTTTCAGTAGTATATATTATTTTTTGGGTTATTTAGGCTATTGTTAGGTGCTTGGACACTGCGAGCTATATAGATCTATTGTTAAGTTCGCTATGTCAGGGATAAAAATTTAAGATATTCTTAGGAGCGATGGTTTTTATCTCCTCAGGTGACAGTGTAGACATTCCAAAGGATATTTCGTTTATCCAGTACAGTAATATAGCTTATACATCAGATAAAGATATAGGACATAATTTTAAAAGATATTATGTAAATTAGGTGAAATATAATTATAAATGTCAAAAGTAAGTATGATGCAGAAGGAGTTGCGCGAGTCAGCTAGTAAATAAACATACATATATATACACTGGCAGGTGAAACCGCGAGACATAGTATAGTATAGAGAACTGCAATTATTGTGTTTATGAGTACAAGTTTTACTTACATTTCTACAATATTTATAGTACAAATGTGAGTAAAGTAGATCTTAATAAGTTAAGATTATTACAAGATTTGTTTTTATTACTCTAGGTAAGATCTAGCTCATTAAAAGTTAACTTTTTTATATAATAACTAGCTTTTGCCCACGGTTTCGCTCGCGTCAATTTATCCCCTTAGGGGTGGAATTTATCAAAATCCATACTTAGGGGATGCCTACATCATAGTAGCTTTATGCACACAAAGTCTCAGCCCGATCGGTTTAAAATTGACAATCTTCATACAAACTTTCATCCCCTATTTTATCCCCTTGGGGGTAGAATTAATCAAAATCCTTTCTTAGCGGATGCCTACGTCATAACAGCCCGATCCGTCCAGTGGTTAGGGCTGTGCGTTGATAGATCACTATGTCAGTCACCTTTGAGTTATATATATTTAGATAATAACATCCTATGCTCATTAAAAGTAGTTTTTTTAATAATGATAATAATATGTCAGGAGAATTTTCATAGCGCCATCTAGGCAAACTATATAGCACTTGTGTTATGGGTTCTAGACAACTGATATAAAGTATAGAGATACATTATTTTGTAAATACATAATGTACAAAGGAAACATCCAGATCTATAAAAATAAACATATACTGTGAATACAAGTGTAAGTACCGTACAAAGAATTGAACCCGCGACTATCGGAAGGAAGGCAGTGTGCTAAACCGCTAGAGATTTATATTCATGAGTATGATTGTTTGTATCGGTCTAGGTGTTTTATATATATATTTACGAAAAAAAATCTATGTATTTGTATCAGTTATCTACCCATAACACAAGCTTTAGCTAGCTTAACTGAGGTCTAGATGGCGCTGTGTGAATTGTCCTGAAATTATTATTATTATTTATACTCCCTACTGTACTCAATTTGCCAGAAAAAAAAATACAAATGTGTCATAAAATATTTTCTTTGTAAAAAAGCTTATTATAAAATTGAATAATTTATAAGTGATAATAATGTTTTTGTAAAAAGTATCTAACTTAAAATTCTTAGCGCTGACAATGCTATCTGATTGAACAGAGATTAAGTGCGTAGCGGTTTCTATGTTGATTGTCGCATGCCTAACCCTTGTTAATGTAAATATAATTAAAGCAATGTTTATTTAAAAGAGCAATACACAAGTTTCTTGCTCATTCTTCGTGTAATGAATCTGCATTCCGAATGAGCGGTAGAATATAAAAACTTGACTATTCAAAAGTGCTTAAAATAAGTTTGATTGAATAAAGATTATTTCTATTTCTATACGATATTTCTAACAAATCTTACGTAATAAATTGCAGTAATAATTCCCAAATAAATCTTTCCATACAAATGATACATTAGTACAAGTTATTAGGGTTGACAATCCTTTGTCATTTATTTGTCGTTCTAGCAAGGGACAGAAATGTGAGGCACTGTGCCATTGACCCCGCCGAAATGGTTCGGTACAATGTAGCACTTTCAGTAGAGTCATCAGTGTTGCTTAATAAAATTTTATCGATATCGATGTTTTTTTTTATTTAATTTATATAGACTAACTACCTGTGCCCGCGGTTTCACCTGCGTTAAATTTCAATATAAAATGTAGCCTATGTGATATAAGCTTTATTACTAAGTTTCATCAAAATCCGTTCAGTAGTTTTTGCGTAAAAGAGTAACAAATGTCCATACTTTCAAGCTTTCGTGTTTATATATATCATTAAGATGTTACCTGAAGTATACAGCTGACACAGGTAGTACATACATTTCTTATAGGTAATAATGGAATGGTGTACCCGTTTTCGCTAATGACCGCTGGTGACCCGCCAGCGTACGCTGGCGGGTCACCAGTGGAGGATGATAAGATGAGCATGAAGTCAGGTCAGTTATTCCAGTTAGCAAATTCCCCATGAATTTATCACGATGATTTCCAGTGGAGGTCAACATGACATGGTACATTTATACCAATAGGGTTCACATTATTAATAGTCCCTTTCACCCCTGTAGGACAGGAATTAATCCATTAAACATTGGTAGACTAGCACTATCACATGTCACGTCATGTCACGTCAGTTAGATTATGTCTGGTCACATCTTGGAATAAATGTCTTGAATATATTTTGTTTATCAATTTATTTTAATTTAAATTATGAATACTAAAAGGCGTAGTTCCAATACAAACTATAAGTTTTCTAGATCTATAATTATCTATTTTAGATAAGACAATGCTGCACTTATAAAACCGCTAAAAAGTTAAGTAAAATATGCACTGTTTTGACATATATCAGTTGTTATCATTATATGCCTTGCCTTTATCCCATTATTTGTGGTAGTCGCAATATGTCATTCTCTTCCACTGATCCCTATCGTACGTCATACCTGAGCTTACTCTCCTTTTGTACATATCATCTTTCACACGATCCATCCATCTCTTTTTCGGTCGTCCTCTCCCTTTCTATATATATATATATATAGACCCGCGCTACTTCTTCTGCATCAATCTTCTTTATCATTATATTTCGTCCAATTTACATAATATTTTTTAAATTATAATTGAAAAATTATTATCTAAATTGGTCGAAATATAATATAATTGCGTGTGAGTGAAGTGAGCGTGAAAGAGCAACAAACATCCATCTATAATCACAAACTTTCGCGTTTATAATCCTTACTAATATTATAAATGCGAAAGTAACTCTGTCTGTCTGTCTGTCTCGCTTTCACGCCTAAACCACTGAACCCATTTAAATGAAATTTGGTACACAGATAGTCTAGACCCTGACAAAGGACATAGGCTACTTTTTAATGTGAAAAAAGGGTTGCAAGGGGTTGAAAGCGAATGTGAAAGGTTCTATGGAAGTATCGTCATTTTACGCGGACGAAGTCGTAGGCGCAGCTAGTATTCTAAATATCTTACTGATATATATGTATACACAGCATATTTCTTTTAGCTTATTTGTCGAGTATTTCTACCAGATCTCGCTATATGGTGATATAAATTTATGTATATATTTTTAAAAGTATTTATTACTTTGTATGTGCATTCATACGAGATTAAAAATAACTTTGAAATGTCACTAGAATTGAATAAAGCAAATATAAACTTTATAGAGTAATATTAATAGAAGTTTATTATAATGTTGTATTAAGTTTACGACATGCAACAAAGTATTTAATTTATATTTTATCTGCAATTAGTTACGTCTCGAATGGTCAATGAAAGTCTTCATCTGATTGTGACTAAATATATGCAGATATTTATGCAAAGTAGAAATCTAGAATGTAATTACCCGTGTCTACTCCCTTATTACAAGGTAATTGGCATATGCTAGCTTTGAAGTACTGTGTTTATTTAATAAATTAAGTATAACGGAGTGATATTTAAGTGACATCTCAAGATGTTAATATAGATACGGCTCTAATTACAGTTACTTTTAATTTATATTTACAACTAACTGAGTCGGCGACTTTGTACCGGTATCACTTTTTTGTTTGTAAGTTGATTGGCATATATATAAAAGAAATATAAAATTTTAAGTGAAGTTTACTATAATATAAATTAGTGTCAACAGCATCCACATCGGTTGAGATCAGTTACATTTTGACTGTATCAATAAATTTAAGATTTCTACAATCATGAAAACTAATTATATGCCGATGGGCCGGGTCAATATACTCAAATATGGTTGAATGCTATGATGGCTGACTCAACCGCCATACTCGTGACCGGGTGCTGCTTATGAGGACTGGTCTTTTGACTAAACTGAAATATGAGATATATTATATAAAAACATATTATTGTCAAAATAATTGTAAATTTCGGAGTATTACATTATATTAAATATCAGGAGAACAATTTATCGAGCAAAAATTACATCGATATTTCTACCATCCCTAATAATTAATTCTCAAGTAGGGACACTATGACATTGTGTTCGAATCATTGACATATTTTAAATATCGGGAGATTTTTTTATCGAGTAATATTAAAATTATATCGACATTTCTACCATCCCTAACAATTCATTCTCAAGTACACATGGTGTTCGAAACATTGATCGATTTTGTATCATGCCATATATTAGAAATGTACTCTACAATTTCGATAAAAGGAATATCGACACTGTTTATATGTGGATAAAATAAAGTTTTCCTTGATGAAAATTTTATTTGTGAAAGTTTAGTTTTATGATCTGGAATGGGACGTGAAAGAGTCTAGAAAATTTAAGAAAGATTATGGATTAAACTAGCCTTTGGCCACGACTTCGTTCGGGTGATCATTGTCGACTGGCGAGAAAAGTAGCTTTTGTTCTAAGGTTGAGACCTCCTCCATCTCAAATAATAATAATAATAACTCTGGGCAATTCACACAATGCCATCTAGTCCCAAGGCAAGCAGAGCTTATGTTATGGGTACCTACTAGACAATTGATATAAAGAGTTGGTTTTATGGGTGCAAGACAACTGATATATGTATTTTACATTATTACAAATATTTAATATTTTTTTGTAAATACATACACACTATACATAGGAAACACCCAGTAAACAATCATACTCACGAATACAAATATTTGTGCCATGCGAGGAATCGAACCCGCGACTATCGGAAGTAAGGTGTGCTAAACCGCTAGACCACCGAGGTCATCAAAAGGCCGCATGTCGTTATTATATAACAAAGTATGTTTCATTACAGACGTCATATATAATCTAGTCGACTTACGTTGATTGAGAAAATTACATATATATACATACACCGGTGAAACTGCATACATATTCAGTTGTACCTAGTTATTTATGTCTCCTATAAGTGAAAGGTTTCATTTATTTTATATGCCACTTAACATAATAACTAACTAACTTCCTTCTTGTAAAATTATAATATAATATTTATGTACTAGCTTTCCCGGCAAACGGTGTTATGTTATATAAATTAATAATGAAAATTCAGGGCTATGAGTATTTTCAAAAACCGATTCATAAACCAAATACAATATTATAATACTACATATTATATATATATAAATTCAAAACAGTTTTGAATAGTCACATTGGTTTTTTAATTTACTTCGAATGCTGTTCAGCCTACAATAATGAGCAAGAAAGTTAGCTGTGCTTGTTTTAAATATTGTAAAAAAATGGTATAAAAAAATTATAACAGCCTATTTTCAGACTTATCGAGGAATCATATAAAATTAAATCAAAATCACTTCAGTAGTTTACGGTTCCATCTCGGGCTAACAACGTGACCGAAATTTTTATATTCTAGAAAATATATACTTATACATTCATCCTCGTCCAATTCAAAGGGGGATCGATGTTACGAAAGCCTGAGCCGAGATTCGAACCCCTAGTGGTGCTCTCAGACTAAAGTCGTATCCGTCAGGCGGGAGTTGGCCTTCAGCCGCTCCATAAGTCCTTCCTTTGGTTTGGAGTGCCATCTGTACTCGCCCCCTATCGTCCGGTGAAGCTGTAATGGCCAGCAGCGGCCAACAGCATTAAAGTAGTCCGTAAAAAAAAATTCATTTCATATATGTGGCGGTTAAAACACTGCCGAAATATCGGGAAGTCAATAAAAATTAATAAAACTTGGTAATAATCCGTGATTTTTCTAATAGTACGTATAAATTATGACCACTATAAATTTAAAATAGTATCCAAAGTATATTTACAACGGTAACGTCGTTACTAAGATTCTAGTACGACGTTTCCAAGCTCGTTAAGCGTTCGATATTTAATTTTCATGTATTTTTTATTGGGGCTTTTGGTCTATTGTCAGGTCCTGTAACACTGAAACCTTCAGGAATATAAATAAAATTCTGCAGCTATTGTGTTCGCCCAGACCCGTGAGGGACAAGAAATGAAGTATAGGTTCTTAGAAGCGATGGTTTTTATCTCCTCAGGATAGAGTGTATACTTTATAAAGAGGATATTTCGTTTATACATGTGTCCGCTACAACCAGATAAGATGTGTAGTTTTTTTTTGGGGACTACTCTGATGCTGTTGGCTGCAGCTGTCCTGTACAGCTACACCGGACGAAAACCCGCGGGAGGACTTATGGAGTGGCTCAAGGCTAACTCCCGCCTGACGGATACGACTTTAGTCTGAGGGCACAGCTAGGGGTTCGAACCTTTGCTCTGGCCGTTTTAATTTCGATCCCCGTTTGAATTCGACGGGGGATCGATCGGAGGGGATTTTGTCACATTGCATTTTGTCTTTTGCTTGGCAAAATCTGCAGATTGTTGTTAAGCTAAGGCCTAATTTTGCCATTCAATTTACAGTGTCCAATGAAGGCTCTATATATGATATTCTCATATAATCCGACTGTTATATTATTCTATCTCTTTCCTGCAGATTCTGGCGGCTCTCGCTGTCTCGCTCGGCCCGTTCGCTGCTGGTCTCAGTAAGGGTTACATGTCGCCAGCATTGCCGTCGATGCAAGAATCAAGGTTACAAGATGGTTTCCCTGTTACTGATCAGCAAGCCAGTTGGATAGCCAGTTTAAGTTTATTGGGTGAGTATATATATTTTTTCCTCTAGGAGCTTAGCACAATAGTGAGCGAGTTAGCTCCGTGTTGACTTCTTAATCAATTACTAATTACATCTGAAATTTAAATTACCATAAAGATAATCTTACCTACTTTTATCTACAGTGGATGATAATGAAATGATAGATCCGCTTGCGCTATCGGTATACGCTGGCAGGGCACCAGTGGAGAATGATAGGATGAGTATGAGGTCAGGTCAGTTAGCCCACCGTGATAAATTCACCAGGAATCTATCAGGATGGTGTCCAGGGGAAACCGCGTGGAGGTCTACCTGACATGGTACATTACTAGCAATGGGTTCTTCAATCCACATTACTTACAAATACATTTTCCCTGTATGTATAATTAGTAAATCATGGGATCTTACCACGTTTTTTTTGTTGAGTTCCCAATATTTCGACAGTGTTTCTACCGCCATGATCACGGATAAACTGAAGAGCAGCGGGTAGATGGTAAATAAAGTATTTTATGGGCAGACATATTCGTCTACCTTCACACGTCTTCGTTTGTTGCTACTATCGAAACTTGGTCGATATTGATCTCGGCAAACTATACTCACAGTATCTTCACGTTACTACATCTTCACATCAAGTTACATGAAGTTCAACCGTTTAGTCCTGAAAGGATAGCAATAAGACGTACATACAGACATTCTTTCAGATTTACAATATTCCAAGACAATTCCCATGTTACTGATCAGCAAGCCAGTTCTATAGCTAGTCTAAGGTTATTAGGTGACTCACTTTTACTTTTGTATTTATTACATTAACGGAAGATTTCATTTCCCAGAGGGCTTAGTAGCTTCTGACACTGTACCATACCACGGTTGCTCTCCACTGGTGACATTTCTTACAAAAAATACTATAATAATAAAAACCCTGGACAATTCAGGTAGGGCCACCTAATCCTAAGCTAATCAGGGCTTGTGTTAGACTAGAAACTAGACAACTGATGGAAGTGGTGTGCTAAACCGCTAGTCCATCAAGGTCGTCAACTATAGAAATACATTCTTGCGCATTTCCCAAGAAATATAAATTTATTTATGTAACATTTTACTTTGTACCCCCACGTGTTAATATTTACAAATTACTCATTACTGACTTTTTAAACATATACATAATATACATAGAAACATTCAGACCGGTACAAACAATCATATTCATGAATACAAATCTTTGTTCCCTTCCCCGCCATCGAACCCGCGACCATCGGAAGTAAAGCAGTGTACAAAACCGCTAGATCACCGAGTTCATCATGTTTATGTATATAGGAGACGCTGAACCACTTACCATGATTGTCCGTCAGCTTTTTCCAATTCAATTTGCATAAAAAAACACGAAAGTTTAAAATTAACTACGTATTCAGTCGGTTAACTGGATCCTGTTAGTTAAATTCGATTACGTGCATTATGTAATCACATGTTGACCCATATAGTGTTATAGTTTTTTTTCATTGCTCAATCAATTTGTACAATCAGCAGACCCTCTTTGAATTGTGTCAACACTTGAGACAGTTCGTATGGTGAATCAGACAGTCTAAAATACGGTTATATGTTTAGTTAGTAAGATATACTGAAATAACGGAAATTTCAACATTAAAATAGTAAATTACTAATTTAGAACCTCTTTTGTCACTTATAACCATAACTAGCTACACGCCCTGGCGTCGCACGAGTCGATATGTATTATATATATAACTAGCTTTTGCCCGCGGCTTCGCTCGCGTTATCCCCTTAGAGGTGGAATTTATCAAAATTCTTTCTTAGAGAGTACCTACGTCATAGCACCTTTATGCATGCAAAGTCTCAGCCTGATCGGTTTAAAATTGACAAACTTTCATCCCCTATTTTATCCCCTTGGGGGTAGAATTAATCAAAATCCTTTCTTAGCGGATGCCTACGTCATAACATCTACCTGCATGCCAAATTTCAGCCCGATCCGTCCAGTGGTTTGGGCATGATAGATCACTATGGTAGTCACCTTTTTTATATATATAATATAATATAAACCTTCCTCTTGAATCACTCTATCTATTAAAAACTACTTCAAAGATTTAAGTATACATAGGAACGGACAGACAGCGACAGCGAATTTGTTTTATACTATGTAATGATGATAATCATCATCTTCATCATCATCATCATCGCAGCCCGGAATCGTCCACTGCTGGACATAGGCCTCCCCCAAAGATCTCCACGACGATCGGTCCAGCGCTGCTCGCATCCAATGCCTTCCAGCAATCTTGACCAGTTCGTCTGTCCACATTGCTGGAGGCCTTCCCACGCTGCGTCTTCCGGTCCGTGGTCGCCGCTCGAGGACTTTACCGCCCCAACGGCCATCTGTCCTACGAGCTATGTGCCCTGGCCATTGTCAATTCTGAGTCGCAATTCTTCGGGCTATGTCGGTCACTCTGGTTGTTCTGCGGATCTCCTCATTTCTGATTCGATCACGCAGAGTAACTCCAGTCATGATGATAATATCCCTGCACAATTCAAACAGCGTCAGGTAGTCCCAAGTTATGCAGAGCTTGTGTTATGGGTATTTTTTAATGGATAATAATGGAATGGTAACTCCGCCCGCAGTATCGGTATACACTGGCGGGGCACCAGTGTGGGGTAATGAAACGGCTCAGTTAGCCCACCGTGACGAATCTAACCTTAAATCAATCACGATGGTTTCCAGAGGAAACCACGAGGAGGTCGACCTGGTAGGTGGAATGAAACGGCTCAGTTAGCCCACCGTGACGAATCTAACCTTAAATCAATCACGATGGCCAGAGGAAACCACGAGGAGGTCGACCTGGTAGGTGGGAATAAAACGTCTCAGTTAGCCCACCGTGACGAATCTAACCTTAAATCAATCACGATGGTTTCCAGAGGAAACCACGAGGAGGTCGACCTGGTAGGTGGAATGAAACGGCTCAGTTAGCCCACCGTGACGAATCTAACGATAAATCAATCACGATGGTTTCCAGAGGCAACCACGAGGAGGTCGACCTAACGGGGCATATTGCTAGCAATGGGGCTACTAGTCCCCATGACTATGACTAGTCCTTTTTGTTATGGGTATTAAGCAACTGATATAAATACATCGATTTTTTTTATAAATACATACATAATATACATAGAAAACATCCAGCTTAGCTTGGGACTAGATGGCGTCGTGTGTTTGTCCAAGGTTATTCAACATTTTATTTTTTTATATCATAACATACCAATTATATGCTCCATATTCTTATAAACCTTGCAAGTATCTCGCTAACATAATAATATATTGCTGGCGATTATTCTGTCCGCGCGTTGTGATTACAATCAAATAGGGGCAATACTGCAATATATCGAAGTACAGTTGGCTACGTTTTTAATATATTTATTTACTACCTGCCCCTCGTAGCTTCGTCAGCATCACACTTGATATTTATCATTATATTTCGCCCAATTTACATAATATCTTTTTAAATTATATCTAATGTGTTATTTTGATGAAACTACCGAACGGATTTTAATTGAAACTTATATATTGGAATATAGCTTATACGTCAGAATAAAACATAGCCTATATTTTATATCGAACGCGAAAGTTTGTGAGTATGGATAGATGTCTGTTACTCTTTCACGCAAGAACTACCGAATGTATTTTATTTATATATAAATAGCACGGTTGCTATTTTCCATCAAGTCCGTTATGTATGACTTTTTATATAGCTGACTGTACATTCCGACAAGGAAACGTGGAATAATAAATAAACATCAGGATAAATCGAATTGGTTATTTTGGGCTTATTTTATGGGAACTGATTTACTGCACCGCGCACGTGCCTTTTGTCTTCGGAGATCTTCGTCTGAATCATCAATTCTTTAATTAGAATTGGTATTCATTGAATGAAAAAACTTGATGTCTTTTCTTTAAAAATTCTGCCTTTCTTCTAATCAGTCCCAGAATTATCAGCAGATTTGGGTGATGAAAAAATAGTGTTGGCCGACCCTCGGAAGGATCTACTCAATACACTCACAGTCGCTTAAATTTTGTAATAATTGAGTTGCCAGTTGATTTGGGTGGTAACATAGGATATTTTTCGCAATTGACGATCTCCTCCTTTACTGTTAGACACGCCAAGCTCCTTTATATATAAGATAAATAGCACCCGATACTGTTCTCAGCTTTTTTCCATCAATGATTCTTTTCTGATGGTATTTTTTAACTATAGCTAATGTTAGCCGCATCTGGCCTTTACAGGAATGAATGGCAAACATAACGGTCCAATGATAAATATCAGGATAAATCTGATACCACATGTGTTGTTAAACTAAGATGTCATGCGTTCTTGTCATTATTTTTTTCGAACTATTCCAATGCTATTGGCCTAGCGCCCCCTACCTTTTGGTGGTGTAATGGTGAGCATAGTTCGTCTGAAGCATTGATCCTTTAATTCCCGGCCAACGCATATTTTTAAATGTATTCTGTATTAATTAGCCATGTACTGTCTATGTGTATTATTAAACTATGTCTACAGAAGGGAAGGGGATTTTAGTAATGTGGACTAATGATCCCATTGCTTATAATAATAATGTCAGATCGACCTCCACGCGGTTCCCCCTAAACCATCGTGATACATTCCCGCTAAATTTGTCACGTTGGGCTAACTGATCTGACCTCATGCTCAACCTATCATCCTGCACTAGTGCCCCGCCAGCGTAAACCGTTAGCAGGCGGGTACATAATTATACCTTTAAAAAAAACGCTATTGGCCGCAGCTGGCCTACAGCTTCACCGGACGATAGGGGGCATCAGATGGCACGCCAAAGAATATGGCGACTTGAATATGGCACAGAAGAATGATCCTTAATGGGTTCAGTCGCTGTGGATAGTACAATGTGAGGTTAACCTCCACGCGATTGCGTTTGGAAACCGTCATAATAAATTCCTGGTGATTCTGTTGGACTAACTAACTTGACCTCATGTTCATC